CATAAAGTTGAATAAAGTTAGATATCTTCAGATGAGAACAATGTACTTATAGAACCAGAATATACGACTTATTACTAGATAAGCTGTTTGTTTGTTGTTAAGCACAATAAAGTTAGATATCTTTAGATGAGAACAATGTACTTATAGAACCAGAATATACGACTTATTACTAGATAAGTTGTTTGTTTGTCGTTAAGCACAATAAAGTTAGATATCTTTAGATGAGAACAATGTACTTAAAGAACCAGAATATAAGACTTATTACTAGATAAGCAGCTTGTTTGTTGTTAAGCACAATAAAGTTAGATATCTTTAGATAACAACAATGTACTTATAGAACCAGAATATACGACTTATTACTAGATAAGCTGTTTGTTTGTTGTTAAGTACAATAAAGTTAGATATCTTTAGATGAGAACAATGTACTTATAGAACCAAAATATACGACTTATTACTAGATGAGCAGTTTGTTTGTCGTTAAGCACAATAAAGTTAGATGTCTTCAGATGAGAACAATGTACTTATAGAACCAGAATATACGACTTACTACTAGATAAGAAGTTTGTTTGTCGTTAAGTACAATAAAGTTAGTTATCTTCAGATGAGAACAATGTACTTATAGAACCAGAATATAAGACTTATTACTAGATAATCTGTTTGTTTGTTGTTAAGTACAATAAAGTTAGATATCTTTAGATAACAACAATGTACTTATAGAACCAGAATATACGACTTATTACTAAATAAGCAGTTTGTTTGTCGTTAAGTACAATAAAGGTAGATATCTTTAGATAACAACAATGTACTTAAAGAACCAGAATATAAGACTTATTACTAGATAAGCAGTTTGTTTGTCGCTTAAGTACAATAAAGTTAGATATCACCTTTATTGTGCTTAACGACAAACAAACTGCTTATTTAGTAATAAGTCGTATATTCTGGTTCTATAAGTACATTGTTCTCATCTAAAGTTAAGCACAATAAAGTTAGATATCTTCAGATGAGAACAATGTACTTATAGAACCAGAATATAAGACTTATTACTAGATAAGTAGTTTGTTTGTCGTTAAGCACAATAAAGTTAGATATCTTCAGAGGAGAACAATGTACTTATAGAACCAGAATATACGACTTATTACTAGATAAGTTGTTTGTTTGGGTAAGTCCATTTTGATGAAGTTTCTTATGCTGTGTTCTAAGCTTCTCTACGTACAGATGTTTCTGTTACCTTACGAACCGAATCAAACGGTTTCCTATATGTAATCAATTTTTGCTATAAGTTATGAAACTCATTGATTGATTATTTTAATAAGTGATAGCTTGTAAAACCGATAAAAAAAAACTCAGAAAAGTTTATATTATAACTATCATTTGTTTGTTTTTAGTCACAAAGCTAACCACCACGAGTATCGAACTCGGTTTGTATAGTTGTGACATACCCATGAGCCACAGGGGGAGTCATCATAACAACTGTAGAACTGCATTCAAAAGAAATGTATCAATGGTTCTTAAAAAACAGCTACTATTTGTCAACTACTACTCACGTGACTCAATAGCTTTAGAAACATGTATTATGTTATTTGTTATATTGACGAGATAAACAAGTGTTGTTAGTAGCTACCTGATCAATCTGACAACAGTTCCGAGATACAACACTGTCCCTGTTTCTCAACACAATACATGCTAGCATCATTCAGTTTTAAAACCTATATAACACTGTCCCTGTTTCTCAACTATTTGTAACTATATCAAGGTTTAGTGTATTGGTAAGTTTTGTAGTGTTGGATGTATATTGTTGTTAATACATGAAGGTTTATAACTATATCCAGGTTTAGTGTATTGGTAAGTTGTGTGATGTTGGATGTATATTGTTGTTAATACATGAAGGTTTATAACTATATCCAGGTTTAGTGTATTGCTAAGTTGTGTGATGCTGGATGTTTACTATTTGTAAGCTCGATGGACATACAGAACAAACAAGTGATATTTATTTATTTTGTAAATAATGACATATTTCATTTTTTGTTACATTGTTTATTTTTGTCATGTTATTTATTTTTCACACTGATCAATATTATTTTAAACTAATATTTAGGACTAACCTAAGCCCCATAAGCTCATTGAAATTCATGAGGTATTATTGTATTAACAATTGGAAATATCGATAACACCCAGGAAATCCAACTGTCTAATCAATTCCTTCCATTATTTTAAAATTCGGGTTTTCTAATACGGAGTGATCCAAAATTATCCCTCCTATTATACAAGTTAATAATTAACTAAGAAAATGCAAACATGCAGTTTTCAACATCTTGTAGCCCAATTCAAAAAGGTTTTATTTACATGTCAATAGACTTTTACGTGTAGCTCTACGTGGCGACGGCGTCCGTTGTTCTATAGGAGTGCGATACACGATATCCTTAACATACCCCCATACTTCTTTCCACTACTGGCGTCTGTAATTAGGTTGTGCCACAGTCAGTGACTTGGTCTCTAGAAGCCAAACGACGCATTAAGCTTTTTCTTGCACGGTTGCCATTTTATGAGGTAACACTACTCACTGGAGTGAGAAGCAAAACAAATCATGATAATAAAAACTGTTTGAGTTTGACAACAAGATGTTGAAATCTGAATGATTGTATTTCTTTAGTTATTTAATTATTAAATTATAAACTAGAAAAGATCATTTTGGACCGCCATATATATTGACTTATAACATAATTAGCTTACATTTGATCACAACTTCCGGGATGTTCCCGCCTACCTGTAAGCCGTCATAAGCTCCAGATACGAACCTCATCGGACAATACTGGACGTCAAACGGGAAGCACTCGATGTCAATAGGGCAAGAACTTTTCAACAAAGCTCTCCAGATCCACTTGACTTCTCCTGTGTGTTTCACGATAACGTTTGTATTAATGACGTCAGACGTCTGTTCTACGCCGACGCTAAAATTATGGAAATAAGATATGAAATTATGGTATTGTGAGAGGTAAGGCTTAAGTAAAACCTTGAATTGTGGGTAATCTAAGAAACACTAAAACTTTAACCATTGCAACAGTCTCTATTAAGTCTAATACTACACAATTGTCTGGTTATCTGTCTTCTTCTCAAGGCAGGTATCGAAACATGATTTTTAGAGTTATAAATCACTAGACTTACCACCAAGTCACCGGTGGGCCTACACAGAGTAGGTAGTGTTAATAAACGCTCTTTAAGTTCGATTTTGAGAGGCCAGTAACATCAAGCCAATGACGTGTGTTAAACATCCAATAATATTAAGAATGTGTGACTCAGTTTTTGAGCGGGAAGACATTAGATAGCATTTCAATGAATATTTTGGTTATTGAAAGGCCTTCATTTTGGCAAGGCAGCAAATAAATTCGGAAATCGTCAGTAGCCATGCTGAGGAATAGTCCCATATGTTATACTATGTTGCACATCTTTATCCGATTATGTGCTGTGTCAGTAAACATCAGTTTCTTACGAAAGAAACCAAACCCAGATGGTAATAATTAAAAGAAAACTGACCTAACTATAAACGTACCAACAAAATAATGAGCCCTATCGCACTCAACATCCTGGAGATGGTGACACTGTAGGCGGTGGGACTGTTTTATTGCACCCGACATCCCGGAGACCTATTGGATAAAGATGTGGAACATAGTATAACATCATTGGATAAAGATGTGGAACATAGTATAACATCATTGGATAAAGATGTGGAACAAAGTATAACATCATTGGATAAAGATGTGGAACATGGTATAACATCATTGGATAAAGATCTAAAACAAAGTATAACATTATTGGATAAAGATGTGGAACATATTATAACATCATTGGATAAAGATGTGGAACATAGTACAACATCATTGGATAAAGATGTGGCTCTTCTAAGGATATATAACAGCTCTTTCCGACGAAAACATTCCATACACTAAGATCATAAAGATGGTATCAGATCAGAGATTTAGAATTTTCAGGGGGTAGGTACCTCTTGTAGTTAATAGAAATGGAAAAGAAAGGAATATGGATCAACTTGGAGGGCCAGGATCATCAAGAAAGAGACCTACCAGAAGTTGTACCACCACCGTGGTAAAAAAGGGCGGCATCCTGAAACATGTGAGAATCCATGAACACAATGGTCAATGGAACAAAGTCTCCCATGTTCCCAAGGCAATAGGCATGCAATATAATCAAGAAAGATCTCCGTCTGGGAAAGCAACACAAATCACGTGCACACAATTTGTTTCCACGATACATCAGTTTAATCGTGCCATACTTCAAGCAACTGAAGAATGAATGAAACATGTGTTCACGCTATTCCTTGCTGGCCAAGTCGTTACGGATTTATTTGTGATCACACTGTTGAAAGGTATCACCGTCCTCATACTGTAGATGAGTTATAGAAAATACGCAGGGAGTAGTGGTGGGAATTCGACGTGACAGCTTTACGACGTAGTCTTTTGCAATGAAAATTATTCTCCACGACTGTTATCAAGATTCACCAGATAGAGCATGACCAGACGTGGTGATATGGACTGTAACGACGTGGTGAGACTCCAAAATCGTTTCAATATAATGTACACCAGATAATATTACGTGTCTTCTTGATGCAGGCTGGGAGACACAAAATCATCTTTGTATAATTTTTGCACATTCACATTCTGTGTAATTGGGGTTTGACATATTATACGTTAGCACATTGTGTTGTGGCATAACGTAATTAAGCGGATACTTTCGTAAGAGGAGGATAAAACAATATATTTTATTTAAGTAATCAAGAATGAATATGTCCTACTTGTTGTGAAGAAGGATGTCCGGTCTCCACACTTGACTAGCCGGTACACGGATAACTGTAATTCCGTTGAAATCAGATACATTCCATCGTAGATGGTAGTCTGTCCACTTCTAGATGTTGGAACCGAAAATGAATTTAATAAATAAATTTCAAATATAAGTTATTCAAAGAAGACAGCAAATTCTATTCTTTATATGAGATTTGTTTGTCTCCAATTTATCAGTTCTAAGAAACTGACGCTAGATGACTCACTACAGATAAAAATGAAAATGGAGGATGTTTTTTGTTTTTGAATTAAGATGAAAAAGTTGAACTTAACATTTGTTGTACTTATTTTAAAGCTGATATTCATTTAATTATTGTGCTTATTTTAAAGTTATTTTCATTTAATTGTTATACTTATTTTAAAGCTGATTTAACTAAGTTATTATATTTATTTTAAAGCTGTTTTAAGTTAATTATTACACTTATTCTAAAGCTGTTTTAATCTAATTATTATATTTATTCTAAAGCTGTTTTAATTTAATTATTATACTTATTCTAATGCTGTTTTTGACTTAATTATTGTACTTATTCTAAAGCTGTTTTAATTTAATTATTATACTTATTCTAAAGCTGTTTTAATTTAATTATTATACTTATTCTAAAGCTGTTTTAATTTAATTATTATACTTATTCTAAAGTTGTTTTAAATTTAATTATTATGTTTATTCTAAAGCTGTTATAATTTAATTATTATACTTATTCTAATGCTGTTTTTAACTTAATTATTGTACTTAGTTTAAAGCTGTTTTAATTTAATTATTACACTTATTCTAAAGCTATTTTAATTTCATTATTATGTTTATTCTAAAGCTGTTATAATTTAATTATTCTATTTATTGTAAAGGTGTTTTAATTTAATTGTTGTACTTATTCTACAGTTGTTTTAATTTAATCATTATATTTATTCTAAAGGTGTTTTTAATTTAATTATTATATTTATTTTAATGCTGTTTTAACTTGATTATTATGTTTATTCTAAAGCTGTTATAATTTAATTATTATATTTATTCTAAAGGTGTTTTAATTTAATTTTTGTACTTATTCTATAGTTGTTTTTAATTTAATTATTATATTCATTCTAAAGCTGTTTTAATCTAATTATTATATTTATTCTAAAGCTGTTTTAATTTAATTATTGTATTTATTTTAAGAGTGTTTTAATTTAATTCTTTTACTTATTCTACAGTTGTTTTTAATTTTCATTATTATAGTTACTCTAATGCTGTTTTTAACTTAATTATTATATTCATTCTAAAGCTGTTTTAATTTAATTATTATATTTATTCTAAAGCTGTTTTAATTTAATTATTATATTTATTCTAAAGCTGTTTTAATTGAATCATTATAATTGTTATTATATTTTCTAAACAGGTTTTTTATTGTGAAATATGTACTCTGCTTTTCGGCATCGTCGTTACCACCATCAATCATCAATAAC